GATTCTCTTAAGGAAGGCAAAAAGGAGAAATCCAAGGGTTCATAGATCCCAAGGAGGTGCATCTGAGGGCCCCACTTCCACTAAACACCAAATAAGACCAGAGGATTTGGGCACCACTGGAACACTGTTTGACAACCCAAAGGGTTAAGAACCTCAGCCTTCAGCCCCAGGCCTTCCTGGTCCCCACAGAGGAGGAGGCAACTTCCACCCCTACATTAGAGTCCATGGCCTGCTGCCTTGGGCCCTCCCACTCCAAGAATGAAGCTGCCTGCTGCCCAACTTATACCCAGACTGGTTTCATCTGCTTCCAAATCCATTTTGTGTCTTAACGTCTGCCAAGACTAAAAACTTAAACACACACACACATCATGCATGCATGCATGGGAGGGAGGGAGGAATCAGGCTGGGACTTTAAACTGCAAAAGTAAGCAGAGGGGAGGTGCAGGCCAGCTGCTGAAAGTTAGGGCCCGAGCCTGCTCTGGGAGCCAGCACACCCTTCCTGAAGTCTCTGCCTGCTATGTAGATGTCAGGGTCGGATCTGAGGGGAGAATTCGCAAGTGTGACCTCTCCTGTCTCTCCTCACCCAGTTGCATTGACTTGAACTGCCAGGGGAGCTCAGAGTGGTCTTGCTGCATACTAGAAGCAGACCCTTGTCCCTAACGCTCGGAAGAACACTGCTTCTTGCTTGCCCTCTCTCAGCAATTCCAAAACAAATAAAACAGTATTGGAACGGTGCATGGCTCTGGGTGGGTGCAGACAGCTTGCAAGCTACCTGTGGCTATACCACAAAAGAGGTAGGAGATGGACCTTCCTCCTTGGATTCTGCTTTATCTCTTCCAGGACCTTAAGCCAGATGCTTAAATCTGGGGACTCAGAAACCACAAGGGTCTTTGAGACTTCATCCTTCCTACTCAGTGTTCCCGAGAGTTGGACTAATGGCCTAACCCCATGTCTCTATTACCATTATCTACCCCTTCCTTAAAACATGGAGAGCTGAGGACACACCCTGCTTAGGGCTACCCAGAGGGATCGCACCACCTCCTGGAATTGTCTTCCAAGTCACTCAACAGAGAACACCTGTTAAATCCTGGGCCCTTCAAAGATGGCATTCAAGCTAGGAAGCAAGAGTCCCCTTCTGGAAAAGGAACACAAACAACATAGAGCAGCACAAACCAATGGCAAATTCAGCCTGAGTGCCCTACCACTGATCTGAGGTGAGAAGTCAATCACAGCCTTCCCCGAAATAAGAAGCCTTGTAGCATCCACCTCTGAGCCACTCTCCCAGAGCACAGTAAATGTCAGCAGGGTAAAATGTGAACAAACAAAACTTTCACCTTGATAATCACTGACTCCAGGTGAAGAATATTCAGAGAGTAAAATACCAAGTCTACAACAGAGCAGGTACTCAGAGAACTACAGAACTGCAGACACACAAATGCCTCCAAAAAGCTCTCCTGATTTCTGTTTTGCTCTTGCCTTTGTTTTGCTCTGTAGCCTAGGATGGTTTGGAATTGCTGAGCATCCTGCCTATGCCTCTAGGGAGAACTGGGATTACAGGTATGCACAACCATGTGAAGAGCTGCCCTTCTGTAAAGAGGAAATGCTCATCTGTTTGCATAGTAACCAGATATGGGCAAGGCTTCTTTATGGCCTGATACCTCACCCCTACCAGGAGCTTCCCACAAGAAGGAGCTGGGGAGCTAGCTGGAGCGGGTAGGGGGGCTAGCAGCAGCTCAGGCAGAAATGAGCACAGGCGGCTGTGAGCTAGGAGACTGCATCTGCATGAGATGCTCCCTGTCCAAATGCATATCCATCCCCACCACTCACTGCTTGGGCTACCTCCTCCCTCCAACAGCCAGATCCCTCTCTGCCTTTATTAAGTTCTGCATAAGTTCAGCAGCCATCTCCTCCTCAGTGAGCCTCATCTCTAGGACTTTGGGGCACATAATGAAATCCACTTGTTCTTATTCATGTTTCTGACCATTGCTCATTGGTTTCATGGATGACAGTTATTAAACCTGTAGAGGGGAAAAATAAACTTAAAATACCCCCATAAGTCAGTGGTCCTCAACCTTTGTAATGCTAAGACTCTTGAATGCAGCTTCTTAGGTTATGAAGACCCAATCACAAAATTATTTTTGTTGCTACTTTATAACTGAAATTTTGCTACTATTATGAATTGCCATGTAGATATCTGCTATGTAGGTTATCTGATATTCAACCCCAGTGACAGGGTTACTCAACCCACAGATTGAGAACTGCTGCTGTAAGTGCACAGGGTTTGTGATACTATTTTTCTGCCTTTATGTTTGTTTAGGGTTTTAGATCAGAAAATGATAACAATAGGATAACTATGATAAGATACTCTCAAGCCTTTACCAACTTCAAGGAACTCCTATCCACCCAAAGTCCTGTGCATTAAGACAAACAGCTCTATCAAGCTAGTTTCATCAGGTTCTCCGGTCTGGATAGAGGAGGTGTGTAGCCTTGGAACCTTCTGAAACTCTCAGGGCAAGAGGCAGGCCAGCCCTTCATTTGCTATTGCTGTAACTGGTAGGGTTTTATTCTTTACAGTAATACTCTCTCCTATATGTGTTCCATATCCCTTTACCCATTCATCTGTTAATAGGTACCTAGGCTGATCCCCTCTCTTAGCTACTGTGACCAGTAGCAGAATTCCCTCCCATTGTGTAGGCTGTCTCTTCATTCTGTTGGTTGTTTCCTTTGCTATTTTAGTTTGATGTAATTCCAACTGTCAATTAACAAAACTCTCTGAGCAGTCCAGTGTGTCAAAATATGAGCTCTTGGCAGATTATTTAAAATCAGCAAATTATGCCAGGTCCCAGGTATTAATAATATAATGATGATGACAACACTGGCTATCTAAGTAACTGTTTAGCTTTGTATCCTACCCCCCATGCCCTGCATTGGTCCATTTATTAAAGAGGTAGTTGACAGTCCATAGAGCTACTGGAAGATGGTGGAACCTTGGACGATGGGGCCTCATAAAAGGACATTAGATCATTAGACACATTCCCCTAAAGTGGATATTGAGACCCACAACTCTTCCCTTCTCTTTTTTCCCTTTGCTACCATGAATGAGTAGAGTTCACCCATAATGTGCTCCCTAACATGATGCTCTCTGCCTCATGACAGGTCCAAAGTGAAGGAGACATTTGATCACGATCAAGTCAAATGTCTAGGAAACTATAAGCAAACAAACAAAAACGACAAAAAAGCAACAACCAAATACCCCCTCCCATCTTTCTTCCCTTTAAAGTGATTACCTCAGTTATTTTGTCACAGTCTCAAAAAACTAACATAGCTCGGAGTCTGAGTCAAACGGTCTTCTGAAGAGATATGAGGATCTCTTCATGATGATCAATGAATATGTGACCAAGTGGAAGGGTGCTCTGCTGGTCACTGTGCTGAGTGCTTAAGGAGGCATGTTGTGCTGTAGGAAGTCTCCTGGGACACGAGGGTAAGTGGTCATGGCTCAGTGTGAAACCTCAAGTTACTATGGAGTGAGGCCGCAATGAGCATCACGAGTTTTAGTGCATGGCATTCTCCATAAGAGGAAGCCAGGTCCAAGACCCCCACCTCGAGTTTCACAGGGACACATGCTTCATCTTGGCTGAAATACAGAGATCAAGGGGTCTCTGCCTTTCCCCGCCCATTCCAGGGACATTAGCACAGGCATTTGGTTAATTTCAAGGGTGGGAAAGATTAGTTCTGCCTGCCTAGGATTCCGTTTCAATTGGCCACGCATGTCCTTTTCACTTCCTGACTCTCAAAGCGTGCAGGACTTAATTATTAAGGAACCTCCCTGTTCCACTTGCCCTGGAGGCTCACTTTTTCTGGAGAGGAGTGGGGGTAGGGAAGTAAAACTGGGAGCTTAGCCCCAATTCTACAATTGCTCTGGAGACAACATATTGGAGAAGACCCAGACCACACCAGAGCTCTCTTTTCACCAACACCCCCACATGAAGCAAGACTCACCCTGTACTTCCTTGCACCCCTGACCACAGGGGGACCATAGAGGGGTCTGGTACTGCCCCATTGTGCCTTAGGCTAAAGGCAATTTTAAAAAGGGCCAGCATAGGATATTTATAACCAGATTTTCTGAGAAACTCCCAACCTACCAATATCAGAATAAAAATTAAATAACCATATCTTCCTCTTTTTATTTGGCTCAGAAAAGGCAGTCCCTTAGACACATACCACTTGGCATAACTATCAAAGCTACACCAAGTTCTTGTTCAGGATTTTCACTGTCTAGTCTCTTGGGAGAAGAGATGAAGAGTGTGGACAGGGTGACTGGGGACTGGAGGCTGCATTCTGTATATAACATGGGTCCCACATTCATCTGTACCAGCAGACCTCTATCCTCTGCTTCCCCAGGCTAACTGAGGAGGGGCTAAGACTTCTGGATGGTCAGTAGTCAGTGTGACAGCCTTATAAGCTACAGACACCAAAGACAAACCAGGAGGCTGTACTCGGAGGGTACAATTACAGCAAGGGCAGCTTGACTGTAGAGTGTTGTCCGCACATTGCATTGTATTCGTTCCTACAGTCTCAGGGGCAAGTATATCATCAGTGTGCATTTCATGAGAATAAGAACAACAGGGTGGCAGCCCAAAGCCATTCGCTGGAAACCAAAGTATTCACCGGTCAGGTTACAGATTGGAGATTGAGCTGGAAGAAAAGACAGTGGAGAAGTGGATGGATTTGGATCATCGGCATGGAACTTCCTGTTTAAAAACTGACTTCTGGGGGCATCTGATCAGTTTTATTCCTCCTCTGTGCTGAACCTGACATGTCTGGCTAGCATCTTTCAATGTGAGAGGGTACTACCTCCTTTCAGCTCTCTGTTCAGTCCAAGCATGAATGGAAGCTGGGGTCTAAATTTCAATTCATGTTCCCAGCCTTGGAACTCACTCTACTGAGCCTACCTCTTCAGCCTTTAAACTTGTCCGCTTGCGCCTTCCTTCTGCTCCCAGTGTCAAATCCATTTCCATTGCCTGTTCCCCAGAGAGCCCAGACCTTTGCAGTGCGTGCTTAGTACCTTCAATACTGGGAGTTCTGCTCCTGAATTCCTCAGGAATCCCTGTCTTCATTGCTGCCGAGAAGCAAGTAAGCACCTTTTGGCAGGAAAACGTTTCTCCGTTTCTTTGGATCCTTTTGTGCCTTGGTTGGGCTTCTACTTTAATGACCACAAAACAAGCCCCAAGGCCCCATCACTCTAAGGGCTGAACACAGACACCACTGGAACCCAGGCGGGGCTGGAAGCCATGACTTCTGAGGCTGAGGGTCCTGTGGTCTGCCACCGGATGCTGGTGTGCAGGGGCACTACCTGCCTGGGGGACTTACACTTCCACACTATTAAGTAAAACAAACAGCCCCATGTGCTCCTCCTGCCTGTGTGTTTACAAACCAGGACTGGAAGCCCAGCTGATGCTTCCAGATGTGGAACCCAAACATAGACAGTTAGCTCCTGACAGTAGCACCACAGCCAGGCAAGGCCAGTGGAAGATGATAAGGGGCCACAGTGTGGAACCACAGGTCAAGTGGGAGCAAGCAAAAGCCTCGCTTTGCCAGCATCTACCTCCCCAGGTTGATATGCACGTGAAGTACAAGGAGAGACAGCTGTGTTTGAAACAGAACACTGACACGTGAAAGACTGCCCACCTGGGTGATCCCAGCTACCTGCTGGATAACAGTATGGACAGTGACAGGATCAGTATCACTGGGCACCTGAAGGAAGGAGGGAGAGAAGAGCAGGTGCAGAGGCAGTCTTTTTAGGCAGTGGAGCGATGAGTCTGTGTGATTCTGTAATGAAGACACGGGGCATCTTGTATTTGTCTAATACACCACAAAGCTTCTCTGTACCTCCCAGGCAGGCTGTGCAGTACAAAAAGTAGATGCTCGACAAACTCTGCTGAAATGTGTGAAGAAGGACAGAGAGGGCATCAGGGGGGAAAGATGGCTCACCTATGAACGTTCCTAAAACCTGCCGCCTAGAGAAGCGGCCACTCTACGGTGGTCTTGTGCACCCCTGTGCGGCTTTTAAAAACAAGCACACTACGGCACCTCCCCTCTGCATGCTCCCGTATACACATATCCCAGAATCCATTGCCTGTGTGAGTCTATGGATAACTATAGTTGTCTTTTGATATCGGGACTGGCCCCAGGATCTACCTAAGATCAGCCCAAATCTGTGGATGCTCACGTCCTTCACATGAAATAGAGTGTGCAGTATTTGCATGTAGCTTAATTCTCACATACACATACAGGTCATCTCTAGATCACTTACTATAATATACTGGGTGGTAGTTTGAATATACTTGGGCCAGGGAGTGGCACTATGAGAAGGTGTGGCCTTGTTGGAGGAGGTGTGGCCTTGTTGGAGGAGGTGTGGCCTTGTTAGAGGAGGTGTGGCCTTGGTGGAGGAGGTGTGTCATTTGGAGGTGGGCTTGGAGAGCCTCCTCCTAGATGCCTAGAAGACAGTCTTCTGCTGGTTCCCTTTGGAACAAGATGTAGAACTCTCAGCTCCTTCTCCACCACCATGCCTGCCTGGATGCTGCCCTGTTTCCCATCTTGATGATATTGGACTAAACCTCTGAACCTATAAGCTATCCCTAATGAAATGTTGTCCTTTATAAGGGTTGCCTTGGTTATGGTGTCTCTTCACAAAAATAAAAACCCTAACTAAGACACACTATAAATGTTCTGTAAATAGCAAACAGATTGAGTTGTTTGGGGGAAAATAACAAGAAAAGGTGGTACATGTGGTACTACCAAGGCAATTAAATAAAATTTTCAATCTGATGTTGATTGAATTCACAGTTATGGACACTGTGGTTACCAGGGATAACTATATTTCATTGATGGAAACTCACACTCTCTCTTCCTCCCTCTCTCTCTTTCTCTCTCCAAGACAGAATTTCTTTCTGTAGTCCTGGCTGTCCTGAATGTACACCAGACTGGCCTCCAACTCAGAGATTCTCCTGCCTCTGCCTCCCAAGTGCTGGGACTAAAGGTGTGTGCACCACCACCCAGCTCATTGTTGGAAACACCTATGATATGAGGTTTTAAGGTTGAAAGAGTCCTGCAGATGTCTATTCTAGACACAGAAGGGCTTTGCTGAACAAAACAAAGTCTTGGCCTCATGTGGCAGGGAAGGAGGTGATGGGCAAATAACAAATAGGTATATCTCAGGAGATGACGGCATGGGGAACTATGATTAGTCTGAAGAGAGAGATGCATGGTGGGAGTGTTGCTTGATAGAGGGTACCAGGCTGAGGCAACAGGGAAGCCTTGTGACATGAGGGAAGGACATGGGAAAGAGCCTTCCAGATAGAAGACCAAGGCAGGGCAAAAGCCCAGAGCAGGAAGGTTGCCCAGCCAGGTTGAGAAGACAAGGAGGCCAATGTCACTTGTGCTGTGGAGTGGCCAAGCAGGCCAGGTGAGGGAGACCAGGAAGGGGTGGAGCCAATGGTATTTGGAGAAACAGGAGCAACAGAGAGGTTTCGGCAGAAAAACAAACAAACAAATTGATCTCCACAGTGCCATTCAGTAATGCACAGAGAGGACTAGGGTGGTAAAGCATCAAGAATTCTGCAAACATTTGCAAGTATAGCCTTAAACCTGTCAGCTTAGAGTAGGAGATCAGGGCTGATGGTGTGGCTCCATGGTGGTGTGCTTGTCAAGATGTGGGAGGCTCTAGGTTCCATCCCCAGCCCTGCACAGAGATAAGAAGTAAATAACAAGGTGGAGGAGGAGATAAAGTACAGAGTCGAAGACGGTGCCAGGATTTCTGGCTTAATGGGTAGGCTGAGATGTGCTGCATTGGAGAAGCAGCAGGGCTAAGGTTGGCAAGGGGGTATCCAGCCGGCAACGAGGCCTGGCCACATCATACTGGGCTCCTCTTCCTCTCTATCCTCCATCCTCAGGAGGCCTGGAGCCAACGGGGAGTCCACCAGCATAGCCTCTCTTCTGAGCATCCTCCTCATCTCCAGAAATACTCCTTTCACTCTTTTTCTTTACTCACAAGCCGCTGCCTACTAATAGCTCACAGTGCATTCGGGTGCTTTATGTGGAGCCCCTCGCCTTCCCTTTTAACCGCCTTAAGAAACCGGGATCCTGATGTTTCAGTAACTTGGACAGGGTCACACCCCAGAGATTGGCAAAGTCAAGGTGAACCCAGATTGGTTCCCTATAGTTGAGACATCTTACACCTGGAAATAATTCCAGGAACACTGTCCCTCCTACAAAATATTTCCCCTCCAGCATTCTACCTTCTAATGTGATTCCCGGCAGACCTGCCTAATCAGAAGGCATCCCATAAATATCCTGAATGCCTAGCCCTCTCTTTTGCAAAGATGGGCGCTACCTAGAATTCTGTTGCAAGGGTCCTTTTCCTATCCAGCTCCTATGGGACCCTGAGACCCTCGGCTGCCTTTTCCCATAGGGAGGGAAAGAATGTAGGTCTGGAAGAATCCAGCAGAGTTTCTGATGTTGATCAAATGGCCTTCTATTCAGAATCTTGCAGAGGAAAACAAGCACACCCACAGAGCAGATCCCTTGAGCCCAGCCGGCCTCTGGTTAATTCCCTGGAATTTCTTATCTTTGAACTCAAGGTGAGTGAGCACAGATGTGACAGCTTGGGTTTGTCAGCTGCCAGCTGAACGTTTTCAATGTGTTCCCTGTGCCAGTTCACTGCCTACATAAGATGGAGAAGAGGCAGCTTGTGATGACAAACACTGGGCTCCGTTACCCCATCACATTGCTACATTGTAAACCCAGGTACCCGGTATCTCTCCACATCCAGAACATCATGGCTTCAGGCTTCCTGCATTTGTTTGAGAAAAGTAAGGAACATAAGCAACCAACAGGATTAAGGAGATAGCTCATTAAGCAAACTGCTCTGTGACACAGTATGAAAACCAGAATTAGGATTACAAAAACCCAGGTAAAGCTTGATATACATAGCAGAGAACAGAGACCTTGTTTTAAACAAGGTGGAAGGCAAACACCAACCCCTAAGGCTGCCATCCTCTGACCCCCTCCCCCACTCATACCATGACATACAACTGTCCACATCCTCACAGGTACCCATACCTACACACACATATACCTCACACCCCCACACATTCTAGGCACCAAAACCTCCAGCACAATACTAAATGTGTAGGGAACAGGGTGCTTAGTTGTCGTGCAGGTAACTGCCTGCCCAATCCTTTCTGCTGGCTGCCTTCTGAATATTTGCCTGCAAGGAAGCATCTCCCAGCCAGTTAGTTACCTGTCTGTCAAAGCTGCTACTTCCTTCCCCAGGGTATGTTTCTATACAAGCTGCAGAGTCTCCTGACTAGTCAAAGTGTCTACTCGGCCAAACAGTTCTCCCCACTCACTGCACTGAGGGAATGGAGGGCCTGCTTGATTAGACTTGCAAAGATCCTAGGTGCAAATGGATTCATCTGGCAGCCCCAGTGGAGAAGAGATGCCTGCGATTCAGACAGTGGCCCAGGGGAAGGGAAAGTCTCAAGAAACATGCTCTGAGGAACCCAATGTGGAGGTGACCCTCACCGTCACCTACAAAGGCAACACTGGTTGTGCCACAGAGCTTGGCATTTGGTGCTGTCTGACCCTCCAATGCTCTAGTTTTGTAACAATGGGATTTATGGCAGGGCTAATAAGCAATCCCACCTGCCCCTTTATTTGCAGTTAGTTACAAAAGAAACGTCAAGGGGCTTTTGCTTTGGAAAAGAAATTGCTTTTTTCCTCCCCCTTTCTTGTTTGCTTTAAAAATGAGAGTTTTGGAGTAAGCAGACAGTAATGAAATCTTGGCTCTGTCACTTACCAGCTATGAGACCAAAACAAGTCCCTGCACTTATTTAGGCTTCTGCTCCCTTATCTGCAGAGTACAGTGAGGAGGTCCGTCCTCACAGGACTGCTGGAGGGTTGCAGGGATAGAGCAGTGCTTGGCTTGGAGCCTGGCACACAGTAGGTGCTCTGTAAACAATGGTAACTCTCCATTTCTGGAAAAGGCGGTCTCTGCTGGCCGCCTCCCGGCACTGAGACTGGCTGCCTCCCCTGAGTGGTGGAGCTGTGTGGGATATGCTTCTCTGAGAAGT